CACTGTCAGAAAAGTGAAGTGACTGAATGGCTAAATAAGACGGTTCAAATGACTGATTCAGTCGTTTTAGCAAAGATTTTTGTGGATGAAACGACTGACTCAGTCACATTAGGGAAAATACGGTATATGTACTGTGGATGAACTTAAACATTTCCAAGGAGCATAAGACAGCGCTGTAAAGCGGAACTTCTATTAGTCTTCTGGTTTTCTTTACAAAATTGGAAGGTTTCTTATGCTTGTAACTTGAAGAAAGCCTTTTATTACCTGTTTTCTGTGGAGCTTTAGAAAACAGGCATAGTTACGTTTTTCAAGTATCTGACGTTTACACTGTTACATTGCGGATTTCGTGCAACATGGTTGACTAGGATGTTACTTATTTTTTAGAAGATGAAAATCTATGTTGATTTTGGTGAAAAAGCAACAACTATTATTCCAGCTACAAAAAATGCTAACGAAATACTTGAGAAAATCAAATCAGTTCTTCAACCAGCCGCTGATTTCCTAGTGACTTATTATGACGACGATATTAAAAAACATTGTATTTTTCATAGTTATGAACAAATTGAAAATCAACAGATTGTGGCAATGGAAGTAAAGTTGTCTAGTATATCCAGAACAGATGAAAGATCAAAAGTTAATGATAATATGTTGATTGATGTAACTGAAGAACAATTAACTGCTGAGCCATCTAAAAATGTATGCCGACAAAAGAAAACGAAGAAAAAAATACGTGAAGCAAAGGTACGATAGTTTTTGGAGCAGTAAGGCGATTAAACTGTTTTGTTTATTATTATTTCTAGAAATACATTCCTTATCCATGTGATCTACCAACATATACCGAAACTATAAGATTTGGTTTAGAAAAAGAAGGTAAGCCTGAAATATTGACCTACAGGAAAGCGATTCTCGATTATTTTGCTCTATTTAGGTGGTTTTGAAAGTGTTAAAAGCGAATTTATTAAGAAAACACGTGACCATTATTTAGCAACATATTCAAATAATAAAAGTCGAACAGATGTTTCAAATTATGCTCGATCATTATTGAGGCAGTTTCCCTTATTAAGAGAATGTGATGAGAAGAGAAAAGCGGGCCAAACGGAGTATGTATGTATCTTGGTTTACTGTTATTTTTAATGTTTAGCGGACTTCAAATTTTTGTATTTTAGCATTCATTAGCAAGAATTTTATCGCGTGCCATCCGAAATCGTCGAAATTATATTAAAAAAAAAAGAAATAATACAAATCCTGAAAACAAAGCTAAAAATAATATGGAAGTAACAATTCTAGAGAAAAGTAATGATACGAATTCTCAAAGTGAAGGTGATAATCTGGAGGTTCTGGTGGAAGAAACCGTACAAACAACGCCTATGGGTAAAATACTAATACTTGTATAGATCAAAGGAACCATTAAGTCGTGCCCTTTATTTTTAGACGATGGTTTGTCAGAAAACAGGCATCACAGCACAACCAGTGTGTACTTAGATTGCTACTTGGCTGCTTACTGTTGTTGTTTTTTCGTTTTACTTCAGTTGTTACAGCTGAATCTCGACTATTATTAAATAATAGTTTTATACCTTCTTCATCGTCAACTCCCATTCGAAGTCAGCAAACACGCCCGCCAATTTTTATGTTCGAAAATGGACAAATTAAACCTTATGGTAAAGTGTTTAATAGCTTTATTATAATTTGTGTATCTCTACTCGTGTGTGTAGTTCCAAAACCTCAATCTCCAGTTATCATTAAAGCGGTTTTACCTGCAAAATTGCCCAAAACCATCAAAATATGTCAAAGTAAGACCGATCATTACAAACATTGTTTGTTTTGGAGAGTGGAGCGTTGTAAACGTTGTTGGAAATCTGAACATTTAGCAAATGTTATCGCAACAGCAGCTAGTCATAACTCATACTATGTTTGTCTCAAAGTGAGGCCGAAATGTAAAACGGCATACTAGTATGTTTATTCTAAATATTCTGAATTTTAGAGAGTAACCAACCATATACTGAAAGAAGAGAAGCCCAAACTGAACATGAGAAAGCAAAAGGTGAGATGTAATTTTTTGAATGACAGGTGTTACAAAGTATTGTCTTTAACTATGAATGATTACAGAACGATATTTATTTAGATAAACATATAGATGGAACTTGTATAACAGCAAACATTCAGAAAACACATGAAGATATTAAACGGGAAATAATGCAGTACAAGTCGAAATCGGAAAGTCATAATTATGAAAAAGATATTAGCCGATTGCGTGATTTAATACAGAAGAAATCAGCAGTGTCTTCTTCATTAGAAATTCGTTCACTAGTTAAAGCAACATATGTTATTCGACAAGAAATTCAATCGAAACAAAGATGTTATTCATTAGAAATGA